CTCCTTATAGCATCACCTGGTCGGTCGTCTGTCCATCCTGCGTAGCCAGTATATCCACGGAGTGAATGATGATGAGTTGGGCGAAGCGTTTATACATCCGATGCGTGCTCTAGCGTGATATGACCGGACGGATGGATGGATGGACGGACAGACAGACCGACAGATAGATGGATAGACGGACGGACGAACGCTTCGCCCCCTCATCGACATTCAATCCGCGCATATGCTGCGATTTTTTTTTACCTTCCAACCCGCTTGTTCACTCGCCTAAATTGTATACCTGAACGCCAGAGAAAACACCAAGCACTGCTTCTGCAGTCACCAGTTTTCATATGACAAGTCAGTCATGTTCGTCATACATTCATGTTATACCATACCGCTTTTGAACGGACGTATGTATGTACGAAGGGCGGATAGATAGATAGATAGATAGATAGATAGATAGATAGATAGATAGATAGATAGATAGATAGATAGATAGATAGATAGATAGATAGATAGATAGATAGATAGATAGATAGATAGATAGATATATAGATAGATAGATAGATAGATAGATAGATAGATAGATAGATAGATAGATAGATAGATAGATAGATAGATAGATAGATAGATAGATAGATAGATAGATAGATAGATAGATAGATAGATAGATAGATAGATAGATAGATAGATAGATAGATAGATAGATAGATACGTTCATAGTCACCGAAATTCACTAACAAATGCTTCACATATAAAACGGAAAATATTAATGTAAAGAGAGACCCCCTCGCTTTTTCGCCGACGCAATATCAGTGCGTCCTTCGTACTCCAACGGAAACGTCGAAGCCGTGAGTCGGCGTCTGCTTGTTGGAGATACCACGGGTTAAGGGCGCGTGGTGATAAACACGCTCGTAACAACGTGGCCGCCTTCTGGTGTCCTTATTGCCATGAGCAGCAGCAGCCACAGGGGGCGCCTCTAGGTGTCCCTAAAGGTCCTCGGCGTCGGGAGCTACGCTTCCCCAAAGGAGGCGTTTCAACGGATGCGCGAGTAACAGGCTGGCGCAGAAGCGCCACCAAGTGATATTCCTGCTGGCAGTGGCCCTTCCCGCCGAGCGCATGCCATCCCTGCACGCGTCAACTTGCGGAGAAATGCGAGGTCACCACACGCGCCTCGCGTGTAATTGGCTCCCGGCTATGATTTACAGCGGAGCCGGTAATAAGGAGAAGCTTCCTCGACGGAAGTACCCCTCCCCACTGGCCCCCATTCACGGAAACCCCGCTGGTGCTACACATTTCTCATGGATTTTTACTTCGTTCTTTATTTATGTTTGTTTGTGCGCTCGTGTTATTTTTTACCATTGTTGCCAGGGGGAAGGTACTTTTTTATCATTATTCCTGCAGTCATACAAGAGGCCTTCGAATTTCTCGGCACGGCATATCTTAGTTATAGTTCTTTTAGTTTATCAAAATACCGAGCATCGCCATAACCTTGTATCATAACCGTGGTTGTATCAAGAGTTTCTTATAAAGCGAGACCCGGATAAATTTAAAGCTTTTAAAGTATACAGAAATAAACTCACTAAACTACAAAAACAAGCTAAACGCGATTATCACTTCAAGATGTTGGACGGTGTCACCGATTCTAAGCAATTATGGAACAAACTTAATGCTATTATATCTACCAAACAAGTGTCTAATGATATTAGTGAGCTGGTGATCGAAAATAAAATATACAAGGGCGCAGTACTAGCAAACAAATTTAACGAGTACTTTACCTCACTAGTTGACAGTAGTCATAATTGTGATTCATCAGGTTATTTGCCTCCTGCTTTAAACAATTCTGTGTTTGCAAATCCTACAGACGCGCAAGAGGTCATCAGCGTTTTTCAGCATTTCAAATTGAGTAAAAGCGAGGACATAGATGGCTTAAAATTAGAACCTATAATATACATTTTAGATCTCATAGGCGCCTGCTTAGTACATATTTATAATCTCGTGTTCACCACTGGTCTGTTTCCTCAGAGAATGAAAAACGCTAAAGTAACGGTTATATATAAGGGTGGGGACAAAAGCAATTTAGGAAACTACAGACCAATTTTGATTTTACCTGTTTTCTCTAAGGGGTGTGAAAAACTTATTTTCATTCAGTTATCAAAATTTTTTAATAAACACAATACTATTACGCCGTCACAGTTCGGTTTTCAGTCAGGCCTCTCAACCGAAAGTGCCTTACTATACCAAAAGGAATTGATTGATTGATATGTGGGGTTTAACGTCCCAAAACCACTACATGATTATGAGAGACGCCGTAGTGGAGGGCTCCGGAAATTTAGACCACCTGGGGTTCTTTAACGTGCACCCAAATCTGAGCACACGGGCCTACAACATTTCCGCCTCCATCGGAAATGCAGCCGCCGCAGCCGGGATTCGAACCCGCGCCCTGCGGGTCAGCAGCCGAGTACCTTAGCCACTAGACCACCGCGGCGGGGCCCAAAAGGAATTGATTCTAAGAAATATAGAAGCAAAAAAAAAAAAAAAAACTTACCCTAGGAATATTTTTAGATTTCTCGAAAGCTTTCGATAGAAAAAACTTCACTGTTATGGAGTTCGCGGTACCGTTTTAGCTTTAATAAGAAGCTACTTATCTAATAGGAAACAATGTGTATCAATCAATCGAGAGCTATCATCATCCTTGAACGTTAAGAATGGCGTACCTCAAGGTAGCATTTTGGGACCCCTATTATTTAATATTTTTATCAACGATATTCTACGTATTGACAGCTCTGTAGAATATGTAATCTACGCGGACGATACTAGTATATTTTTTTCTGGGGAAATGGCTGATGACCTCATTGTTTCTGCTAATGAAGTACTAAATAAAATATATGCCTGGACTGTGGCGAATTTTCTACACATTAATTGCTCTAAAAGCAAGGCTGTACTGTTTCGTGCGAAAGTCAGGTCATTTAAAACGTCTCACAAGCTAATACTTAATAACGTTGAAATTAAACTTTGCCAAACAGTTAAAACTCTCGGTGTCCATTTTCACGAACATATGGCATGGAATTACCATGCAGAACACATTAGTCACAAACTTTGTAAAGTTCTAGGCGTGTTGCGTCGATGCCAGAACATACTACCTGTGAAACAAAAAAAAATATTAGTGTACAATGCTCTTTTTTCTTCACATTTACACTAGTGTCATCTGGTCTGGTCTACAGGCTCTAAAGCATCTCTAAAGAACCTGGTCGTGTTACAAAAAAATGCCTTGCGGTGCATTGAAGGTGTATCTTTTATTGCAAAGTATAGAACTTTAAGAATAATTTGTTATTACGAATACCAGCTTCTGTCATCTTTTAAATCAGAAATACGCAGAGGAAGTATCTTTTTACGCACCTTGGCCACCTTGCCACCAAATCCTGCCAGTCGCGTTACTCGCTGTACGGAGACTTGGCACGTACCTTGTCCTCGCACAAACTATGGATTTGAAACACTGCGTTACCGCCTTCCAAGTATGATGAACAAATGGAAACTAACAACTGATAATCTGCGTATATTGTCTAAAACTGAAATGTTAAATCGGATGTGCTGATTGTGTTGTAAATGAATGTTGGGTGATTTCTGTAATGGTTATTCAGTTTTTATTCTTTCATGCATTGCTTTGTTATGAATATTTTTGTATGTATTTTAGAGTTATGATTCTATTATTTGCTGTCATGGGCCACATGCGTGTTTCTTTTTGTATTGTCGCTTTCCGCTGCCTGTAATGTTTGTAATTTTTTGTAAATTTGTAGTTTCGATTTTTTTCTGGGTGAAGGGGCCAGTCAAGCTGTGAAATGCAGCTTTTTTCCCTTCGCACCAAACCACGTATACATTGTATTTTCGTGTACATGTCACGTGGTTGAATAAACTCAAACTCAAACTCAAACCTCTGTAAGCAATTGGTGAGCACATTCGTTTCAAATCTACTCGTAAGTCATAAAGTAGGCTTTAGTATAGACTTCCGTATTCCCTTTACCGCATACTAGTTTTTCACTAAAAACTAACTTAACTGCATTCAGCGTTCATAAGAGTCGCAATCTGCAGTTAACTCGTTCTTGGCGATGTTTTAAGCGGCGCGAATGAGCCTTCGCTAAGCCACCCACCACAGTATACATTACAATTATATGGTACTGATGAAATGAGTAATTTTTTGATTTTATCATACAGCTGGCGTTCTCAGGTATGAAGTACTGTACATAATTTTCTCGCAAAGAAGCTTTGTTTTCTTGTCCATCACTTCTGCAGGTGAACGATTGCTTCTGGCATCATTCCTTCTAGAATCCGCTACAATTTACGTATTCGATTAATAAAGAACCGCGAGAAGTATCAATTAGTGTAGTATTTGATAGAAAGATTTCCATAGAAACCTTCCTTATGCTTGTTTATTTAGGTAAAGCTACAGAGGTAAACTCCTTTCATAAAACACACCATGTTTGGTAACAACCGATTCAGAGGTGCACCCCATTCCCGCACATCGTGCGCCAGCATGGACGACTAGCGCCATCTCAAGGAGCATTATCCCAGTCAACGCGCAGCGGTGCATTGCGAGAGCCAAACGCGGAGGCACAGACGCTACCAGGCCTGTATCCTAGCCATCCACGGCTTCTCTGTAAAAATAATTTGTCTAATAACAACGATACTAAAAAAAACAGAAGTTGTGACAGAGTGCAATGCAGGCCAAAATTTGTTCAGTAGCCGCAAATTTGAAACATCGGAATTTTAAACAACGATTCTAGCAAAAAATTGTTTAGCACCATCTGTTTAGCAGCTACAGAACTATTACTTATTTCCTTCTCGAGTACAAATACCTCACTAACGTTCAAACCGAGACATGCAGCTTAGCTTTAGAACAAGAAGAAAAGAAGGCAGGACAGAAGATTGTACACTAATAAGCCCCGACATCCGCGATCATTAACTTTCTTAGAGATGTATACGTGGAGTGAGATGTAGCTTAAAATTAAAAAATAAATCTTTATTTGTTAAAAACCACGAAGCAAAAACAATAAAATTTTGAGTCTCCTGCGCCCGCTGTCATCCGCACTGTGTCAAGCGGGCGTCTTGCGTAGCTTGAAGCTTCCCCGACGTATTTCGGCGAGAAGGCGGTCGACGATGCACTCCTCCTCTACAAAGGAGGCAGCCGGCTTCTTTGCGTATCCTATGGGAACGGAAGAGGGTAAAAACATTACTATACTGTGAAAACACCGCATATTCTTCTTTCATAGCAGTTTATCATAAGTTTGAGGTATGTCGCGGTGGTAATGCCTGATTCCGCTAAGCAAGAAAATAAACTCCTCAAGCTGTATTCCCACGAAAGATGAGATCGCGATTTTATCACGTACTGCGTCACCATTCTTCACCCGTTCCAGCGTCACCGCTTCTGTCCACGCAAAGCGATACGTGAAATGACGTGAGCCCAAATCACAGTCGGGATCCTCGGAAAGCAATGCCGAAATCTTCGCTTGTAGCGTCAATTACCCTCTTTCGTGTGAATTCTGGCTTCAGAGGGATCAGAATCATGCCACATGTCACGTGATTGATCCTTCCACGATCACGTCCGTCGTGTGAATACAGCTTAACTGAAGGGACCCTAAAATGACACACTAGAACAAAATCAGGCTAAAGATAATTTTGAAAAGTTTATTTTCCTTAATATCGCAATCATAGGCTCATTTTCACAAGAGCAAACGAAAATAGAAGCTTTTTTGGAATGTCCCATTGAAAGTACTGCACACTAATGACACCGTAACCCCGCCAATTCCATTTCTGGTATCGTGATTTGATAACAAGGGCTCTGTACGGTATCGAAAAAACTTTTCATGTTAGGCGCACAGCTTTCTTGGGAAGCAATGCAGTTCGCTGTCAAGAACCAAAAAATTTAGCACAAGTGCTATAAGACCCTGTCCGAACTAATGACATCATGATTAATTGGGGAGGAAACATCAGGACAGCATCGCCACTTTTCGCACCATTTTTCTGGCTTATAAGCGTTTTAAAGCCGCAAAAGTGTTACGTTTGATATTGTGGTTGGTTAGTTTAGTGACACAAATGAAATGACCTTTTTTCTTTTTACTTTCTTCGGCAATGCCTCTCAAATACGGCTTCCTTTAATTAATATATAGGTATTAACAGCAAAAGTAATCCACACTTCACTCGCAATACTACTTGCAATTCGTATCAATTTTTCGTTCTGTAAATTTCAGTTCTCTTAGCACGTAGCATGCAAAATGCATGCATCCCAGTGTCCCTGCGGGTGCTATCTTTACCCAATTTGTTTAGCAGAAACACTGCATGCCATTTCTACCTCCAACATGCACACATACGATTTTCAAAGCAAGCAACTTTTTTAATGCCATGATTCCATACACCCAGTATGCACATTAGCTCTACCATGCTCATCTACATGTGTGCTTGCCCACATCCCCTCATACACAAACATGCACGTAACTCTCAAGCAAGTCACGACAAATGTACGCTCGCAGATACGCCACAATCAGCATGCAAAGACACTGCACAGTTCATAACGCTGTCACATCTGCACACCGTCTAAGTCGGTACCCTCAACACAGCACATGAAGACAGGTCCTGCCAGTCAAACCCTTCATCTACATACCACAATTTATTACCGTAGTTAACTGCAGGAACTGCAGTTAACTTTTCAAAACTTATGCACCACTTAAAATCACGAATCTTACAGGAAACAGTCGACGCTGGCAACCGTTCAAACACTGTAGCCAGTGATTGGAGACTTACGTTCTTGCTTCAGGAAGTCTTGTCGCAGCATCTCCTTTTTGCTAGTCACATCGAATGAAACAATGTCTCTACCAGTATCGGAGTCTAATACCTTGTGAACTGCTTCAACTTACGAAATTCAAGTTGTCTGACAAATTGTTATTTCTCATTGGTGACGAAATTTTGGAGGTAGCAACGTGTAGAGCATTGCCATCGTTCTTGAAACAAATGAAACATCGCTGAATTTGAAAATAAATTCAGCGACGTGACCTCACGATCGTCTCCCGAAGAAGCATCAAGCAACAAAGCGAGAGATTTCCGCACTTTGTGCCCTCCCCTCCTCTTGCTTTTTGATGCGGTTCACAAGACTCGTGTTGGAAAACAAAGCAGAGTGCAGAGTAGGTTAAGCAAGAGAAGCAGAAAAGTTTGTCAGCAGAGTACGCTGGTTTTGAGCGAGCGAGTGAAGGTTAAATGAGTAGAGGTATATTCCTTATTTGCATCATCGAGTGTTGTTCATATGTTCTGTCCCTCGGGATAACAATAATTGTCTAGCGCCTAGCTTGCCTAAAGCTCCTCAGAACTCACATTTCGCTGCACTGGCTTTATTTCGTGCCACTTTGTCTACATTTATGAAGAAAAGCCGAAGGGAAAATGGTTGCAAGGAACCTTGAGCATTTGCCTAATGTGATTCGAAGGCAGAAGCCATATTCGTTCTCTTCTCAGTCGATTGTATTGAGTTGAGTTGATTCATATCACCGTAACTTAGTTACCAACACCTCGCTCTTCCTACAGTATTATGACGTCTCAATGTGCTATGGGCATCTCCAAGTGACCACTCTCCCCTGTGAGGTACTCACTGTACCTTCAGACCACCTCATTATCTTCGTGGTTCTTCCATTGTTCCCTACGTACTGTGGTATTCCTGGGAAAATGTAGGGCTCTCAATAGGGTAATAAAAAGTCACAGCAATGGTTTTAATACCGCATTCATTTCTGTCCAGTTTTTCGCTGCGTTCTGTTGCTGTCAATCTCGGGTGCCACTGTCCGCTAGCGACTACAAATACTCATTTTATACGACTTGTCTAATGTAATTTTATCGTAGATTATCAAACATTTCTTCAAGAGCAACTGCCATGGTTAGGCAGTTTCAACTACAGGCCTTCGATTCTGACAGAAAAACGGCCTTCTTTAAGTATGCTGCTCTTTTAACTGAATAGAAAATAACTAGCTGTGGGTTCTATCAATTTTCTGTGATAAATAAGGTTCGTGGTGTATTTCTTCGTTTCACAGGTACACGAGAAAAATTGCCGATTGAGCAACTGTGTACAACTAATATTCTAGCAACCTAACCGGGGGCCTAATCATGACAACAGTTCAGATTACTGCAGATCCTACATAGACTTATGATATCAATGAAGCATTGGTCCGAAACGGCAGCTACAAAGCCTGTAGAGCAGAGAATCTTCAAAGATACGAATTCCCATCCATGGTTATCTCGCTGAAAAAGAACGATAGACGGTGATCTCAAATTCTCGGTCCTGTAATTTGCAAATAAGAATATTTGACAGTTCAAGTTGTATTTCTCTGCTGACAGAACTGCACAAGTTCTGCATCCCACACTCTTTCTCCCATACTGATCAAATAATCGACGCTACTCTAGCAAAAGATCTCGTTCGTTGTTTCATGCCAGCCAGACGGCTTCTCTAGGGAAAAACGCTGAAGTGCTTCTAACGCCCAATAATTCAAGATGTCACAATTAACAGTCACTACTGATCTAATGCACTGATTCAACATCAGTTCATGCTTTCCCTTTTTTCGTCGTTGCGTGGTGTGCTTGTGCAACTTGCTCATTTATGGTGCTAGGACAAATCAATTGGTATTTCTGCAGAAAATGAAAGTCATGCTCAGGAAGATCCCACACTTCGCAAGAATCAAAAGTATTGCTTGCGTGCAGGCATGCAGGAAGTACCACCCATCAGCCAAAAATGTTACTGTTAGCGTCGTACGTTTCTTTGAAGCAGCTGCATCAGAAGCTGGAAAGACTGTGATGGCTTTGCTTCTGCCGGGAGACAACACAGGTTCAAAAATATGAACATGAACGTGATTTTTTTCCAACAAAAAAAAAAACAGCTGCATATGAAAGTAATAAATTGTGGCTTATTTGGAAGATGTACACGGAAGCACAAGCGAAAGGTTAGACATTCATTCAGCCACGCACAGCAACACCTACAACGATTGTTCTCTTTCCTATAGCACGTGTCTAAAACATACAGTTCTAGATGTTTCCATGTAATGAATGTCTACAACACTTACTTGCAACACACTGAAGTCCTACTACCACCGCGTTCTTTTGAGAATCCATTATAAATGGTATTTTACAAGCAATGAGACTAACATGATCATTTATATGAAGCATAACAAGGCGTTTCCGGACTAGGTTGGCGAAAGTGCCCACCCAGCTCACGTCCATAAAAGCTGCGCCCGGCAAACAGGTGACCTTCCCCGCAAGAACTGACGCCAGCGCCCAAAGCAGCAACCATCTCCTGCGGCTGCAGCCAATAGGGTAGGGGATTCCCCGTCGCACAAGAACATTTCCCCGACACGAACAAGACAAGAAAAGCGCATAAGAATACCCGGCACACTACCTAACAAGCCGATGTCTGCAACACGTGGCTATCGACACTCTTGGGAACACAAATATGCGGCATCGTTCTGAAGCAACCTAGCTAAAGGCAACGCTTTCGTGTTCTGATGTCATAAGAATATGCCTAGAGATCGTCTGCAAGTTTTATTATTTTCTCTCTGATTGGTTCTGCAATGGAGTGCTGAAGAATATAGAAATGGCAATCATGATCCAAAAGCATCAATAAAAATCTTATCGTATGCATGTTTTATCAATGAATATAACTTATTGAACAATACATATCTTATTGACATTGATATTTGTTATTCTCCATAATCGCAATAACAGCCCAAAAAATGCATTTATGCTGAATACAAGGAGGCGACCTAAGGAACGGTCACAGTCAGTCATTCGCTATTATAATCCAAACCACTAAAGACAGTTCAATCGAGATTTCTTTTCCTGTGTTATTCTATTACTTGCTATAGAAGAGTAAAAGTAATAAACCGACTGTACATTTCCACAACTTTAAATGAACTGTGATATAGAAAGTTGCAATTGAATGAGTCGTCTCCTCGAACATCCACTGAAAAGGTTCGTTGTTGCAGTTCTACAACTAAATCTCTGTAGCTACGCTTCTAAACAGTGTAATACTACCATTATCATTACTACTATTGTGCAATTCATTTACGCGGTTTTTTTATTGTTATGTCTTTTTCTACTAAGAAGCTTTCTGAACAGAGCTAGCTTATTTCATTGTGACGGGGCCACAATTTGCAAGAAAGCTTAACAAGTCGTGAAGTGGAAAATCACCAGTTGTAGCGCTGTAGCTATTGTTACAAGAGCCTAAATTACCTGTCACTTACAACACGATAGTAAGCTTCAGTAGTGCAGCAACAGAAGGGGCAACACAAAATTGTATGCGTTCAAGCTATTACTGTGCTCAAGGTTTCCGATATCTAATACTGCAATAAGCACAAGTTTAAGAAATTTAGTTGAGTCGTCTATATATAATCCCCCTTTTTTATATGAAAACCTCGTTGCGGTGTTAATTAAAAGTACATACATTTCACTGATTCGCCATCACCGTGACGCTCTGTACAATCTCCAAATGCGATGAGATGCTATCGTGTGCCCGGAAGAAGGTGTGCGATAATGCACGGAGTCCTCAAAGAAGGTGCTTGAGAAATATCGGGGAAGGGGTGTGTGAGTGCACCGTAAGGGTTCAGCGCTCGCGTAAGGGGCGAATGGGAGATAAGATACGAGTGCGCCGTAGCGGAGCAGAAAGGGACAGGCAAGATAGCGCACGTGGTAGAGATGGGCAGGCCAAAGAAACGTGCATCTAATTAGCTACTTGGCCAAGTTGCTCTCGGTAGTTCTTCTGCTGCGACAGTCACACCGGCAAACCAACAAGACGGCTCGTGCGCACTATCCAGCGTGTATTCTGCGGAAGCTCCAAAGGCTAGATGAAGCAATCTGCATACCCGGTCCCTTCGTAGGTGTGCTAGCCAATAGCCAAATATTGGAGATCGCACTGTGCCAATGAAGTGAGAGGAAAAGCATCGAGTCGGCTAACTCTCGTCTGCACTGTTCATGACGCCAGCTTTCTGGCACCTAGTGTCGTCGGTCATCGAGTGAGATCCGTTCACGCCTGTCTGTTCGTAAATGTTAATTTAATTGGTTGAGAAATATAGACGGCCGAAAGGCTACAATCTAAGTTTGTGTGGATTGTATGCTGCATTCAAATATCTAACAATGCTTCACATATCGCGTGAGGCTTTTCTTTTTTTTTACATTATGCTCGTTAACGACATACGTGAAAGGACTGTTGCAAAATCACCTCGCTTATCGGATGTATCACGACATAATATCTCTGCACCTAGCCATATTCACTTATATGCACGACATTTGATACAAAATGTCTTCTTTACCATCACACAAGGAAGCATTATGCGGTAATTTGAACACGTTCTATTTCTAGCGCACTATAAAGGAGAGGGAGCACACAGCATTTCAGCAGCCGACAATTAAAGCTATACACAAAAATCGCTTGCTTTATTACCTACATATCACTTTCGTAAAGCTAGCAAATCCACCAATCAGTCCTTGCGTAAACCAGCCAATCAGTATCTCTTTTCTGTGCCATTCATTGATGTTGAATCTCTTTCTACACGCCCTTCTGAGAAAACGTACGTGTATAGAGTGGAGGGTGGCAAAAACGAAAAAGAAAATAACTATTCAAAGATACTGGGCAGCACTCACGCAATATCTTCAGGTTGTTTTACCAGATCTACGTTAGCTACACTTTAATTACGTTCTTCATTGGGGAGCCTTAGAAATTCGCAATTTAAGTTACGTAGACTCGAACATTATGCTGAGTGTCTTCAATGACAGCTTTGAATGCTTGTTTTCTAGTTGAAGCAGACACATAAACTTGCAGGCAGCAGGTGTCTACGTCTCATTTACACCCCGACTAACCGAGTCTATGGAAAATCCGACTGTTTTGAAATCGCCTCAGAGAAATTTGCCACCAGAAATTAAATTCTAGCTCCAGACCTTAATAGGGTGCTCCTCTTAAAAGTCCCATGTGATTATATATGTGAAAGTGTCGTGAAAGTGCGAAAGCAGGCCAGAGTGTAGCAAATTCTTGTTTTGCTTGTGGTTTTATATATTAAGACAGCAAGGAGGTGTAAGAAATATGTCTTGCCCCTAAGTATTAGAAAATAGAGCACGATTTTAAGTTAGGCAATTGGCTTGCTGCTTACAACGGATAAAAAAAATCACAGCATATACACAGGCTGAATTATGATGAGTGGGGCGAAGAGTCGGTCCGTTCGTTGGTTCTTATTTCCGTTTGCCCGTGCGTCTGTCCATGCGACCGTCCGTGAGTCCTTCCGTCCGTCCTTCTATGTGTCCTTCCGTCCCTCCGTCCGTGCATGTGTCCGTCCGTGCGACCGTCCACGCGTTTACAAAGTGTATGTTGCACTTTATCATTCTCGCGCGTTGGTCCACATGTCTACACTGGCCCATAAAACTTCAAAATGACAGTTTTGATTTTCATAATTCGTTAGCAATCGTGCCGTGCGAGCAGCAGCGGCATGTCTTGTACCAGAGAAAACTCCCTAGCTTGAGCTACAACTCAACCGTGCCTCGTTATTCACTAGCTCCATTTTATAGATCAGTGGTTTTAACTGTCAAAACCCCGATTTGATAATGATAGACACCGTAGCCGAGAGCTTCGCAAATTTCGACCATCTTTTGTTCTTTAACATGCACTGGTGTTCGTTAACGTTCTTTAACGCGCACAGTAACATTCTTAACGTTCTTTAACGTGCGCAGTATACGGTCCTCCGGCATTTCATCTCCATTGAAATGTGACCACCGCGACCGGGCCTAGCTTTACCTAGAATATAAACATATTGCAAACATCGAGCTTATATGTTAGGTGTCGCAAAACATCAATAAAACAGAGGTTTGTTTTTGCAATGAAAATATTCAAATTATTCATCAAACTCCACCAATGAAACGCGACAATGTTCTCTCCAGCAGTTCCTCACTTAAACTGCTTTCGCAAAATTTGAGTAAAATGTTTTGTGCACTGCGTACCTGGTTTGCTCTGGTCCGTGCCCATCCGTGTGATCTTGAGCTTCTCGGCTCGCTCCTCCAGCTGCCTTCGCTCTTCATTCTCCTGCGGCACGGAAGAGAAGTCAGAAAGTTCATGAGGTCAAAGGCATGCGGTAGCCGTGCCTACGGATTCAATATGAAAAAATAAACATAGATCCGTTTTCCAATATGAAAACCTGTACTTAAAGTTTCACCAATATTTCATCACAATTTTCACATCAATCACATGCTTTTAGATGTTGCAACAGTACTCGTACATGTAGTCTCGTTTTATGGCAGCTCGAAAAAAAAAGGACTGAGAGCTTACAATTCACCCGCTCAAGATATTAATATGTCTAGACACACCATACACACGAAAAAACTATCCACACACCCACATAACGTCTGCCATATTTTTCTATGGTGTTCTAAAAGGTTGCAGAAAGCTAACAGATAAAACTAATCGTGAAAAAAAGAGTCCTTGCGAAAATCTACTAAAGGTAACTGAAATACTTAAGATAACTGCAGCTAATGCTTCACTATTTGCAGATAAGGGCAATATTTAGGTTCAATTAAACATCATAGAGAAAAGAATTAAACATCATAGAGAAAAAGTGAGACGGATGTTACGTGACCTTTGATGCTTCATTGTTGGACGGTTCACATGTGTCATATGCCAACTACCTGACCCCATAGGGGTGAGATGCACTGACCCGGAGACCTGTAAGACACTGCGGCTTGCCTTTTGCGCCAGCTTGACTTTTTCGCAGAAGTTGTTGAAGATGTGCAGGCACTCTTCGACTGAGAAGCGGCTCTCTTCCTCGCAAAAGTGCTCAGCTAGCCTCCGTGAGAGCTGTCCAATTTGCTCGAAGCTCGAAGATAGTTCACTCAGCTGTGCCTTGGCCGCCTGCACGAAGGGTCATCATGCAGTCATGAGTTAATAGTAGGTAGAACGTCAATAGCCAGGCAGTCCACCACTGTACTTACCTAAATTCAAAAATGGGGCAATCAGAGAGCCAATGCTCTGTTTGATAGCATCTGCCAGAACGTGATAACAATATCTGGGGTTTAACCTCACAAAATGTCTGCTAAAGCAATTCCGCTTTCGATGTAACGAGTATTCCCGATGATTCAAGTGTTCAGTACCAGTTAGAAAAAGTGCACATTCAGGGACGTCAGTGCGACACAGCATTTTAAATTGCTAATGTGTGTGAATACAAGTTAAATACATGCCTAGTATAATCATCAACGTTTGCGTGAGATTTACAAGACATTAGAACTGTTCAATGAGCAGTTAACTTACGATTACTTCCTGCTCGAGTTCAATCGAAAGCGAACACAGTTTCTGTTCAAAACCACATTCGAAGTGCATGGCTTCTTACCGTGATGAAGGCACCGAAGTGTTGTTTGAAGGCAGCGTCGCCTTGGGGAAGATGTCTCTCGAGCTTCTCAATGCCAGTAGACAGCTGTTTCAGTTCTGCTCGCATGCCATCTAGAGACAGCCTGCAAGGGACAAACGACCGAATCGCTCAACTTCGTACGTTTCTCGCGATAATATTTACTCTACGTTGTAATGCAGTTTACATAATTTTTCGCTCGCAGTAATCTTTAGGACAGGTTACGTCTTAAGAGCGGAAAGAAAGAATAATTAGATTATCCATGCTTTCATAATTATTGTTCTATTAAGTATTTCCTGAATTTTCGGCAATGTGTCTTCTCTTTCGCACATGCTTTATTTCTACAAATATCGAACTGTGAACACTAGTGTGTATTCTAATAGAACTCGTTCTTGGTTTAGTGTGTTGAACTTATCTTAAAAGTACTATCTACAAGAGTTTTGCTAAAGAGAAGAGATCTCTAGCTGCCCTTGTGTAATTATTGTGGTGCATACTTGTTCAATGCACACATGATTCCGGGTTACTTTTTTCTATTTATTCAGTGTTTCCGCTCATGAATAAACAGTACGAGTTCGCGCTTGTCCCTGTACTCGTCCACGTGAACATGTCTTTTTTCTCATGCAACCTTTTTATTGCAACCAGTGCTTATTCCTTATGATGTGCAAATATGACCGATCAAAGTCATGACACTTCTAGGCACTGCATTCAATGTAAGTACATTCAAATCGTTTCGTGACTAAATACGGACAATAAACGCAAGAGATTACGTTGATTTTGGGAAAAAAACGTAGTCAGTGCTTTTGTTAGACGCCGAAATCGAAATATTTTCTTAAACTCGCGTTGATATGCTGAGATATATATACATAAACGAATCATCATTGATTGAACTACACTCCATGCTCATTCGAGCAACCAAAATTATTATTGCTTTCTATTAGCGCATACACCGTCAGGTAAGCACTCATGTACCTGGAACACTGGGCGAGGTGTCGAAGATCCTTGGTGAAAGACAGCGTCTGTGCCTGTTCCTTTTCAGCGATTTCGACTAGAAAATGAAGAAGTGTCATGCGCGGCTTGTTCGAGCGGGTCTCGAGTAGCTTCGGAAGCGTGTTCAGCCGGAAACCAAATGCGTTGCCCGCGTAACTGCCCTGAAAAAGAGAAGTCGATTCATCTGAACTGTGGCAGTAGAGGAATGACCATCGAGAAGCACTAATAAAACATCAGCCATCAGATTGGGTATTGTCTCATTGGATACAGTAAATTAGTTGCTTCAAAATTACCAGCCAAAGTATAGATGTCGGTTCCTGACGGAGGTTTGATTTAACGGTGATTAGTTAGCAGATCAGTGACGAAGACCCTTCCACAACAACCGCATCCAATGAACAGAGTTTAATATAACAGCTTTTGCGTAGTTGATCAGAGTGTCCCCTTCATCCATCGATTACACTGCGGCATATCGCTAATTCACCTTTATGAAACTCCACGGTTTTCATGTTAAAAAGATACTATTACAAAACTTAACGTGACTATAATTAATTAGGTTGGACCTCACTGCCGAACCTTAAAGGACACAACTTGAAGGGGGAAATACGTAAATAAGACAAGCTGCTTTCAGCGAAAAGGCACAGTAATGATAGTGATTGATGTGCCTCACACAACTAGACGAAGTAAGATTCGCAATTTTAATTGACCGCATTTGATGCAGTATATCTTCGCCTGCTAATTAAATTAGGAAATACAGTAAGGCGCGTGCAAAGGTGGGGCCATATTCCAGCCAGTGACTGCGAACTTGACGTCACAACGCTGCCTTGATTATCAGTGTCATCAGAAGTGAAATAACGTATCACGTTTCCTTTAAATTTGACGTGTCCGTAAAGCCTTTGAAATACGGCGACATCCAACACTTTATGTGTTGGGTGAGGGGGAAGCAAAAAGCACATGAAGTCGCTATCTAACTCGGCCTGAAGATCTAACTCGGTCAGCGAACGAATACACTGCCACTGAGGCTGCCGGTGGGCTCATCGACTAAACAGAACAGAGCTGGAGATGAAAATGCGAATGCGCTAGCCTCGCACAGCACCTGTGTACGCCTGACATGACTCAGGCGTACACAGCACGCAATTTATTCCAATAAGGCCATTAGTCTGCACGAGTGCAAAGTCTTCATGCATTATTATATTAAAGGAGGGCTCTTCGCTGTGGCTTGACGCCATTTTTTTTGGGAACAGCCACGCAGCTTACGACATAAAAAAGGCTTTGTTAATAGGGGTAGGTGTAGTGATCATAAATATTCACTGTTGCTCCAAGTAAGGAAAATAGCGAGGCAAGCGACTCAAAGGCGATCAAATACTATAAAACGGACAACAAAAAAAGCTACGCTACTATGAGACATAGCAACCTAACATTTAAGAACGTTATGGTTTGTTCACCGAGTTGATGAAGTTTCCGGTGATGAGAATGAGCTTGAGGAACTCCTTGAGGCTGCGATTGGTCAGTATCTCCTGGCAGACGCCAATGTAGTTGTCCAGCTGTGGCTTCAGTGCATCGACGCTCGGCCTAAACTCCTCCATCTGGAGCATGCCGTCCACGTAAAGGGCATACAGCGGCAAGTCGCCCAGCATCAGGAAGAACTGCTCCGCCTGGCCCAGCTTGCTCCGATCACCCGTGTATGACCGCAGCATGCTCAACTGAACAAAAAAAAAACGACGAACACGAACTTCCACAACAATTTTTATACTGAATCCGAGCGAACACGAGTCGTCTTAGAGTGCATAAGTGGGCTAGGGGGTATTGCTTTATTTATAAAGAACTTGGGGCGTAGGGAATACGACAGACCAAGAGGGTTTCACGAAACAAAGGTGTGCAGGTGTGCAACGTCCTTGGTCATGTTTTCTGCGCTTTAGGTCCTTTACAAAGGGAACAAGGTATTGAGTAAGGAAGGCTAGCTGGTAAGCGTTAAACTTTTCAGAAATGTGCCTTGAACACATGAAAGTGGATTTCGGTGTTTCAGCTCTCATTGCACGTTCTATGTTGAACGTGAAAGTTAACGTTAACGAGTTATTAAATGCGAAGCATTTCTTAGCGAACTTCGGTTACTTTTAGCGTATCTATCTATCTATCTATCTATCTATCTATCTCTCTCTCTATCTATATGTCTATCTATCTATCTATCTATCTATCTATCTATCTATCTATCTATCTATCTAGCTGCTAAAGTTTGGGTGCTCTCGTGGTCACCTTCTTAACTTGGCGTGAACCAAAATTATCATGGAACGGTGAGAATACTTGAAGAATATGATGCGCTGGTCAAGACAAAAATAATGTCACAAAACGTCATCAAAGACTTTACGCCAGACAGTGACACATACACACCGGCGGGTATGTGCCGCTGGTATACGGGTATGTGCCACAGGTGATGGACACTTAGTATCTACCTAGGAACGACGAGAACACACATGGGCAATTTAAACGCGTGAGCGTTAAAGAATAACCGACATGGGTAGCGTCCACCCAACGAATGCAAAGAATAAATGTCAAAGTCCCAGCTGGAATCAAACCCAAGCATTCTGCATGGCAATGAAGCACTTTACCACAGAGCTACGCCCAGTCTCAGAAAAACTTCTCAATAGACGCTAATCTTCGTGGGACGTCCATAGTGGTTGCAGTGCTGCCTACGCAACTTTATGAACATTACATATGTACTCCTTTGATACAGCCGTCACGTTGGGTTAGCGTCAATTGTGGTTAGTTGCCATGTGCTGAAGTTGATTTATGTAGAAGTGTCCAGGGCCAGCATTCTTGTGAGTATCAGCGCTTCATATCAGCTTCTGCTGTTGCTAATACGCATGTTCTAGTTGGCATCGTTGCGCAAGTGCAAACTACTGGTTATATAAACATCTGCAACTCTTGAACATATTCCTGTGTGTGCAACATTTGTGCATGTATTTAGAGTCATTTCATGACATGTCGCTCAATATAAAATTGCAAGACGGTCACCTTTTATCTGCAAGCTTCGCATAACGTCGATTCTCAAAAACGTGGTATCTTCCAATTTTTTTTCTTCTCAGGCACCTTTAAATAATAAGTCATGGAATGTATTGAATATTATAAATATCTTTGTTTCGTCGAGTCAGTGGCACTCAAACTGAACAATAATCAGCACATAAGACAGAAAAAATTATTTTATGTATGCAGTGTAAGTGAAAAAACTATCGTCATTTCAGAAAGGTTCATAAAAAGCGTTCTTGCCAAAAACAGCCAGAATACAAGACATCAAATACTGGCACTAGTTATTGGACACCTTAGCTTCTTCTTTCAAGAGTCATCGCGATCGCATTTTGCCCACTGTCCGGGCCTAGCGTGTTCGTGCGAACTTGAAAAGCTCTCATGATCAACGAGAACCAATTTCAAGATTGAAATAAGTAAAATTATGACTAATGCCCACATTCAGGGACCATACAGCTTGAACAGAATTTGCGAAGAAATCGGGTCGGCTAGCAAAAGCCAAAAAATATTCTACGATATAGACGTGTGCGGCAAAGTGGACTCGTAATTTGAAGATAACGTACCTCATCTGGCTCTGGTAGTATCTTCTGCAACATTCGCAAGCGTTCAGCGCCAACTTCCTTAGACTTGCAAGATCGAATCATGTCGACAATTTGTTCAGGGCCCCGACTTGAACTGCTTGAGGAAGATGCAGACATTGAGGCTCCTCTTTCCATCCAGGAGGCTAAGCTGCATGCACAAATCAAAACGCTATCCATTGTTTGAAAACCAAGATATTGCAGGTAATATACGGTTAACATCACAACCGAACCCGTAATATTTGTAATGAGATGCACTTCATTCGTACCCCAGTGTCCTGCAAATTTCGTGATCATGTGTTTGGGGCTCATCATCGAACACATGTTCCTTTTTTTTCTTTTGCTTCAACAGCTTATTTTGATATAAAAAAAACTTTCAGAAGCATTTCGATGGTTGTTTACTAATGCTACCATTAAGACACATTCTCATAACAGCAGTGTTCCACTCTACACACAACTTTTATTTAAAGCCTAACAGGAGTGCACCTTCACCTGACAAAACTTCATGGTCTCTTAGTTTTATTGCGATAACAATTATGTGTATACCGCTTTTTGCCGACGCAGTCAACGTCGTAGTCGCAGTTATGTTCATATGAAGTCCAAAGCGATAACGTCACCCCGCACATCACTATGTTCTATCCGCGACAAGGACCAACGCGAACGAAGTAAGATGGAACGAACTGGCCATGTTTGTCGCAAGGATGGCGCATGCGATAACATCATCTCGCGTAAGAGGTTTGCCTTTGATAGCTTCTTTGGCAGAGAAGATAAGCCATACCCGTTTTTTCCTCGGTCAAAAGAGCATGGACGTCGGTGGAGGAGACGGGAGGGCTGCGTCGCTCAAGCGGCAACTATGACCAGTGATCGTACAGGTTGTGGTCACGATCGCTGGCGCACGCGCTATCTCAGCAGACGTCCCAAACAGCACATATTCCATTCGAAGTGATGTGCCCTAACCCCTTCGCACTGAGGCAACAGACTGAACGAAAACTTCTCCTGTCCCTGGAGCGGCCGCAATTCCTTACACCAGCCTTTTACAGTGGAGCGGTAAGCTCTAAGCTCAAACGTTCGTAATTTCACACGGCAGTAAAGTCTATACTGAGCGAAGAAGAAAACACATAAAACATAGAAACAGGCGCACACATGAAGCGCGGAATGTTGGCGCATGTTGTTGGCCTAGTTGGTTCATAAATTCAGCATACAAGTCTAAACTGTACGAGAAGACAACATGAAAGAACAGACGCACGCACACACGGGAATCACAGTGTTGTTGGTATAGTTGGTTAATAGATTTAGTATAGAAGTTAAACTGCACGAAGAAAACACATAACATAGTAACACGCACTCAGGCGATGCGCTTCGTGTGTGTGCGTGTCGCAATGTTCTTACGTGTTGTCTTTGCTCACTTTAAACTTGTCTTCTTTACCTGCGAGCCAACTAGCCAAGCAACATCTGATCGGAAGCGTCGTCCGCCCCCTAGTGAAGGGGGCTAAGAACGATCGCGAAGAGACTGAAGCATTACATAGGCGTGAATAGTAACCTAATATCAAAGGGGCGGGAAAGAAGTGAGGGTGAAGAGAAGGGAGGGTATAGGAGAGTGCACTGGTGGCGACTGGAGAAAGGAGGTGATTCGGCGATTGGATACATGCATATGGTCAAGTCTAAAGGGTGTTCATTCACTGCTAAACCACGCCCACGTTTACTTAGCTGGGCACCATTGAGGCTTGCCCCAACCTCCGCTTTACGCCGGTCTTTACGACTTTAAGTCAGTTAAGGCCACGCATAAATTGTAACGTTACACGAGATCGAATACCCAAGCGTTTGCTGCTGGCCTTGCCTTGTATAACATAACGTGTCGCTATCACATTCATTGCTTCGCCCTTACTGTAAAAGGGATATCTAGCAGCGAAGCTGCTGAGCGGATTGTTCTTTGCGAGTCGATCGCAGAAGACTATCGTCACCTTAGTGTGTACCCCACTGCGCCGTCTACAAGAAAACTATCAACATTATTTTTCAATTTCATTCATTTATTCAACTATAAGGGCCCGAAGGCATTACATAAGGGGGGGGGGGAGGGGGTCGTACATCCAGGTTGTAAGTTTCTAAGTAATGTAACAATATGAGGGTACACACTGATTACAATGAATAAGCAAGTAAATAACACAAGCGGAACTAAGACGCATAACAAAGCATAAAAAATATGATAGGTGACAAATAAATTCTGGGAGTACAATAAAACACTATACACGCAAGAGTTAATGTGCTGTTAGGACATCGCATTTGGATTTTGGAAAAGCATCATAAACAGCTATGTACAACAGCAATTGGCTAAACACAAACACTCACCTCTGATCCACCAAAAATGAAGAAGAAAACAGTTATCCCAGCAACAAATGGCTGTGAAGCGAGGTCGGTGTGCCGAAGACCCCGAGAGCGAGCAACGAGAGAATACTAGGGAACGGGAAAGGCTACGGCGGCTGCGAGAAGACCCGGAATCGAAGAAATGCCTACACCAACGAATACGTGCGCGTAGATCTATCAAAGGTGCGAACACTTAGTTTGAGCACGTGTTCGCGCCTCTGTAGTTCGATCATCCACGTCGCGTCCACGACTCTCTGTGGCTCAACTCAAACCTCTCTGTGATGCGGAAACGCCCTACGCTGCAGAAATTTCTTCGCTCTAGAAACCAACGTATAAACAGCCTAGCAGCACTTAGCTGAAGCCTAACAGCAAGTTTGAAGAAACCTGGGACTTGCATGACCTAGCTAAGGCAAAGAAACTACCTCGAAGCAACCAGATTCGTCTTCACAATTGTCAACAGTTTTGCTGTTACAAGCATTGCAAGGCATTGTGCAAGCTTCGTCAATTCTTTCGTTCAGGTGAGATTTGACCACCAAAGATCAAATGCCTTCTTTCTACATACCACGCATGTAAAACAGCATTAAGCACAGAAGGCGAGGAGAACACACACGTTCAGAATTGAGAATATAAATGACGGGAATTCAAAGCTATGGCTTACCAGTGCTGGCTCCCGTTTTTTCTTCTTGTCTGGTGGCACCTTCGGTTGCGCTGTGGTGGCCGTCTTTTGGCAGAAGAGCTCTTCGAGCTGTTTAAAGTTGAGCTTTCGTTCAACGTGCTCTTCCTGGGCTTCCTTGGTGACGTCGCTCCAGATACTCTTGCCACCTGAAGAAAACAAAAGGTTCACCCCATGTGCATAGCGCACAACGACTTGCACTGTAAAGATCGTGCCAACGTGATCACATCGTGAAAAAATGACTATGAAATGAAAAAAGTTGCAGAAGCTTCAGCACAACCTGTACAATCTTTGTTATACTTCAGTGCACAAGGCTTGACACCAACGAGGGTAACAATGCGGAATCGTTTGTCAGGATGAAATGGCTTTTAGCGTACGCAAATGCAAACAGGCGCACTAGAAGAAATGAACACAAGTATACTAAGTTCTAACAACACAGGGCTTGTGTGTGCTTGTCGTTTCTTATTTCATACTTGTTTCTTGTTGCACTATAACACAAGACATTTAATAAAGGCCTCAATAACCTCTTGATCACAAAAGGAACTTAACCTTCAGAAAGTACTTATGATGACCAGCGAAAACAGGGTGCATTAGGAGAAAATATAAAGGTGGGAAAGCACGTTGTGTTGGATTTCCTGCAGAAGCATCTCGAGGCCTTAAAGGGACACTAAAGTTAAATAACAATTTATGTCCTAGTTGAAGCTCAATGTGTGACAAGTATAAAACGACAATATTTTCAACAGTGCCCTACTTACCGAAAAATTAAGGTAAATGCACCCGAACACATTCGCTACGCGCAGGACATTCGCAAAATGATCCTCAAAACGCAAGAGGTACCGCCTACAATTCATCACTAGTAATCAAACTTTCTGCACTAAATAAAGAACTTTCCGTGCATCAAGACACGTAATAAATTGCTGCTTGTACATTGTGTGTTATTCATAGAAAAAAGAACCACCCGACGATCATGCGGTAAATTACGCGAGTTGTTCAAAAGTTCAATTTTCGCCTGGTTAAATTGGGCAGGTCGTGCCATCTAGCGGGGCCCAGCTGAACGAAGCACGTTTATCATCTCGGAGGCCATAGCAGGAAATTTTTCAATGGCTGTTGCTGCTGCTGTGGCTCCCACTAATTTTTTTTCTGCCGCTAATAGTGTGAGGGGCCGCGCAGTTCAGCCGGGCAACGCTGTGCACGACAACAGTGACGCGATTGTTCCGCTTAGGCGGGTAATTTGAAGTGCGCTAGCCCGACGTGGACCTTTAAAACGTGATGCTGTTTCAAAATAAGCACTTTCTTGGCTTTAAAATAACACTACGATGTTTCTGGCCCCCTATTTCAACAATCAACGGCAACCTAATAGTTGCCTTTCGTGTCCCTTTATTGCTGGCTGATCCTTTTCTTCATATCGGAACAGTACAGAGACGAATCACGAAGACTGAACGACACGGCACTCGTGTTGTTCAGTCTTCTTCGTGATAAGTCTTTGCGCTGTTCCAGTATGAACACAAGCCAACCAGCCCAACTCTCCCTTTTGCTGATCATATTTGCAGTACGTAATTCGATGGAGGTTGTCACAGTGTTGGCGGAACGCAACCTTCCAGGCCGTTTGCAGCACCTGCGTACTTTCTCCTTTTCTCGTACTGTGTTCTGTTTTGCGCTGGCCATCATGAGCATCTTTCATGTTCCTACTCACCCGATTTGTTACCCTACTCCCGAAAGGAGAAAACAATGCAGGAACAGGGGGAAGAGGGGTTGACAAAAAGGTGTCGTTGAGGTCGCCAGGGAGATCTTGCCTGGATTAATGCTCACCACATACAAGGGTATCTGGCACCTTAGTCCAGTTGAGAGTCTTCATCTTCTGCTGCGGCTTAGGCAACGTGTGGAAAGGACCGGGAGAAGCCGATCCACGTGGCGCTGCTTGGAGTTGCGTCGCCTTGGACGGCGTAATTTCGGTTTCCAGACCATCACCTTGAGGGTTCTGCATACCTGACAGTGAAGGTGGTGGCGGTGGCGGTGGAGGTGGTGGGGGTGGTGGCGGTGGTGGTGGAGGTGGTGGAGGTGGTGGAGGAGGCGGAGGTGGTGGGCTGGATGGTACGCTGGCAGCTGCTGGTGCTGCAGGAAATATGGAAATACAACATAACTTAAGTTACTCTAATATGACTGGCGCATCACGTGGATACTGCAGATTTCCCCCCGTAATCTATGGCGTTCGATGGTAAATAGTCTAAGAAATGCAAACAATTTTGTGCCCACTTTATATACTGCAGAAATCGCGTTCTGCCACCGCGCGAGCAGTTTAGACACAATGACGTATTTCTAGATTTCTTTTTAATTTTTGGTGGCAGCAGTACAGAAAAGCATTCATGAGGGAATGACATATCCCTTCGCTGTTTCAGAGAGAGTTCCCATCATTCAGCTCGCTATGGTATATAACAATAACATATGAAGAATATCAACCGGAGAACTGTGTTTAGTGTTTGTGTATTGACGGGATGTCATGGCTGTCCCATACGTGCGAAGCACTTTAGGGGCCGGGCTGTCGTATGATGTACTATATTGTCGCCGTCGTTTGGCGTAACGCTCCATGTATAGCATACTGCTGGCACGCTCGCGCAAGAGAAATGCTTGTTCTTCGGGCATGATGACGATACCTTATCATCAGCAGCAGAATATAACTAGTGTGCTCGGTATAACAAAGGCGATACCATGTATAGATTTTAAAAAGAGGAAGCAAGCCCGAAATAGGATAAAAGACAAGGGAAAAAAACGGGAAGGAAAATAGCAAAAGCAAAAAGGATATATAAATAAATAAAAGAAGCCAGTAAATGAAAATAAAAAAGGAAAAGACAAAAAAAACTGGAAGTAGAAGGAAAAGAAAGCGAAAAAGAAACAAATATGGCTGCCCAGCTTCGCCTTTCTTTCTGCCTTAGAACCACTTGTGCGAAACTGGCGTAGCTTTAAATGCGAATAGATCTATCTATCTATCTATCTATCTATCTATCTATCTATCTATCTATCTATATCTATCTATCTATCTATATCTATCTATCTATCTATATCTATCTATCTATCTATCTATATCTATCTATCTATCTATATCTATCTATCTATCTATCTATCTATCTATCTATCTATCTATCTATATATATATATATATATATATATATATATATATATATATATATATATATATATATATATATATATATATAACTATTTAGCCGTTTACGTATGGGTGCTCTCATGATCACCCCCTTAACTTGGGGTGCACCAATTAGTATGGGAGGGTAAGATGGTTAGTCAAACACAACTCGCTGCTCATGAGATGAATAATATTACAATCTCATCACGTATGTCGTCAAACACTTTCTGAAAAGCAGTGGCACATACCCGCCCCGTGGTATGTGCCACTGGTATGCGGTACGTGCCACAGGTAAAGGACATTTTATATCTACCATGGAACGTCGACAACACACATGGGCAACTTAAACACTTGAGCGTTAAGAAAAAGCTGCCATAGTCAGCGTTGACCGGATGAATGCCAACAGTAAATGTCGGTGTCCCACTAGGAATCAGACCCCAGCATTCTGCGTAGCAATGAAATATTCTACCACAGAGCAACGCCAGGCCTCATATATATATATTTTTTTTTCAGATGGACCATAATGTTCGTGTAACGTCAATTGCAGTTGCAGCACTGGCTGTCCGATTTTATAAACATTCCATATGTACTCCTATGCTACAGTCGTCATGTCGGGTTAACGTAAATTGTAGTTAGGCGCCATCCACTGAAGTTGATTAGCAGTATTGAAGGCTACCTTTCTCGCACGCACCAGCGCAAACATCGACGCTTCATGTCAGCTAACCACTTCTGGTGTTGCCAATACCTATGTTGCTGTTGGCATCGTTACGCAACTGTAAACAGGTGCTGATATAAAACCTACGCGGCTGTTTTACGTATGTGTGTGCGTGGATTTGTACATATATTTAGCGCCACTTCTTAACGTCAGGCTAAATAAAAAAATAAAGCACATTCACCTTCCATCCGCATGCTTCGCATAACATCGAATCCCAAGGTGCGATCTGCCAAATTTTAAATGCGAAGCATTTCTTAGCTAACTTCGGCGACTTTGAGCGTATCTATCTATCTATCTATCTATCTATCTATCTATCTATCTATCTATCTATCTATCTATCTATCTATCTATCTACCTAGTCTATCTATCTACCTAGTCTATCTATCTATCTAGCTGCCTAAGACTTTTAGCTCTCCTGGCCGTTTCGATAATGGTATCAATACCAAACTTGGTATGGCATAACATGACTGTATGAAGAACATATTTGACTAGTCGTAACTTGAAAATCGTGATATGTATATCATGAATGTCATTTACATTCCATGGTCCGGCAGCTCTTGTGGTGGTTTCGTTCACATGGCAAGTTGCAAAACTCGTATGATATGACATGATTGCATGCCAAACCCAAGTGACCGACCTTAACATGAAAATAATGGCATGCGTGTCAATGTAACAACATGACTACATGCCACGCTCATGATGCACTGGCGGCCGTTTTGCTAGCTTCACTTATACCAAATTTTGTATAACGGGACGTGAATAGATGACGAAGGTATGATACTGGTGCGAACATGATAACCATTAGATGCGTGTCATGTAACAACATGACTACATGCCACGCTCATGATGCGCTGGTGGCCGTTTTGCTAGCTTCACTTACACCAAATTCGGCATTATGGGACGTGAATAGATGACGAAAATATGATACTGATGCAAACATGATAAACATTAAATGTGTGTCATGTAACAACATCACTACATGCTACACTCATGATGCGCTCGCGGCCATTTCGCTAGCTTCACATATGCCAAATTTTGTATTACATGAAGTCAGTGGATGACGAAGCTATGTGACTGGTGCAAACATGATAATCATGAGATGCGTGCCATGTGAGAACATGACAACATGCCTCAGTCAAGGCACCAATACATTTTGACGTGACGTGGCGCACGTGCTCGCCGACGTTCATTTCGTCGCGTCGGGCCGGCATTGCTACGCTAAGCGCCGGTCTTGGCATATATTCGCAGGCGCGCGCCGCGCGTAGTTGCTTTGACACGTGCACGTTTCAGCGCGTCCGGCATCCCTCCGTCACGAAAAGAGGGAGATGCACTGTTGTCTGGGTAAGGCATCGGCGCGAAATGTAGCACGTCGCATTTCGCACTGGTTGCCGTCGGGCTGCGCCGACGGACGCTGGTCGCGCCTGTCGTCAGACTATAGAGTGCTCGCGCTTTGCTAACGTAGCGTCGCTGTGCCCAGCTTGCGCGCGGATCAACGCGACGTTGGAGTATATTGGGCTCTTCATGATGCAATCGTGGCTGTTTCGCTAATTCCACATATACTAAATTTGGTTTTACGTGACGTCAATGAATGACGAAATATATGACTGATGCAAACATGATAATCCTGACACGCATGTCATGTAAGCACATGACAACATACTACGCTCATAGCGTAATGGCGGCCGTTTAGTTAGCTCCACATATACTAACTTTAGCATCACGTGACGTGAATAGATGACGAAGGTAAGCGAAACATCCAGAAATGATAATCATGACACGTAAGACATGTACGGCATCATTTACCTCCAGTGCGTAACATTGTGCTCATTCTAGAGTTACATATCAACCTTTCAAATTCGTGCTTTGCATGTCATCAATTGCCACTGTACGTGGGATCTGCCAATTTTTCTCCGTACGTTTTTGTCTCCTTTTCGGCTGTGTACCGTTTTCTTGCGTGACCACCTGAACGCTGCGGTATTTGCAGGCACGGGCGTTGTTTCTAGACGAACGGTGGCGTTGTTAAACACTGTGTGACTCGCTACTTTTTTTTTCCGCTTCGAGGTTGCGTTATAATTTTTTGGCGGTGTTCAGTAGCTCACATTTTTCTCCTTGTAGGCTCTACTCCCTTAACCGAACAATGTCATGCTGCCCGGTGTGCTAGAAATTTTAATTTTGTGGCAGAAAATTTCAATCCCAACGTACAGAGCACCTTACCTCCATTGACAGGTGAAGCTTGAGCTCCTTTGGGTCCTTGAGGCTCACTCGATGACAAAGGCAATAGGCGTCCGGTGCCATTGAGGCCCGGGCGACCCAGGACTTCAGGCGATGTCTTACACACAGTCGGGACAGCCGGCGGCTGGCCATCGGTCGACGATTGATGCACAGAGGAGCGTGTCAGCTGCGTCGAGCGCGATGACGATCGCTGGAGCGAGCCTTCGATGCTATGCTTCTTGACGCTTGTCGACTTGCTCCGCTCGACACCGATAAGCTCCTGGCTCCTCCGAACTACGGGTGAGGGCTGAGAAGACCTCCGCGACTGATTAGACTTCGACCTAAACGACGTGGACCGTGACAGATTGGAGACCTGCACGCCCGTAGGACCACGTGCTGAGCCCTTCTTGAAACCCTTTAAAGAGCAACATGAAATGCGCACGCGTAAGCAGAGAGTCCAGCACCGCCACCTAAGCGCCTATCCCATATCTCAGTTCCAGACGTCGTGCACCATAATAAAGAAATGTGCTCCGTAAAAAGGTGAGACCAATGCATCATTACCTCGGCAAGGCAGTTTGCGCCCGCCCCATACCCGTTACTCGGGGATACATAAAATTGTTCATTCATTCATTTCTTCAGTGCGGCAAAAAAAGGGGTGCGCTGTCTTGTGGGTGCGTGTGATGGCACATGCAACCTATCATGCACATTCTCCCTCACAGGACAGAGGCTTAACAAATCCTTCGATTCCTTCCAACACTCAATAATACGCTTACGTTGCAGCGCTGTATGCTGTCAGTGAAGTGTTATGTGAGCACTGCATAAAGTGACGTAAAATGCCTGACTGGCAGCCGCAGCATGAACCTCTCTAATGCAAGGCTCATGACGAATTTTGTACTTTTCGATTTTTCCACTGGCACTGGCTGTCATTGTCCCAGAGGCAAAGCAAGGCAAAACGTGGCAGAAGCAGAATAGAAACAAGTAACAAGCAAGCAAAACCGAAGTAAGGCATAAGCAAGGCACAAGCAAAGGCACTAGCAATGTAAAAGTGAGGCACTACTAAAACACAGGCAAAGCACAAGCAAGGCAAATGAAAGCAAGACTGAACTATCTCTGCGCACCTGAGTGATGAACTTGAAAATGTTCAGCCTGTTCTTAGGCTGTGGCGGGGAGCACTCGGCAAAGACATCGGAGTCGCATTCGCTTCCACCGCGGTGGCGGCCGTTGTCCAGCCGCTCCATGGCTGCCAGCTCCAAAGGTGCCGGGGTCAGCTTGGGTCCCATCGCGTTGTACAGGGGCAGCACGGGACCCGAGCTCAGCTGCAGCGACAGCCGCTCCAGCAGTTCCCAGGCAAGGTGGCTGCGATGGCAAGGGCTGCGGCCAGCTGCCCACGGCCACGCACGGCGCGCGATCTCAGCGACCGCGCCTCCCGCACAAATCGCATATGTGCTTCACTATACTTAAGGCGCTAACGTCCACACCTAAGGTGTTTAAGCATGTCATTACAGTACACGCCGGAATTACAACCTGGTTTCATTTTTGTTCTCTCCCATTCTCCTACGCACTATACGGCTCGATCGCCCAAACTGCTGTTTAATGAAGCCCTTCTTGTAATCTGAGAAAAGTGAGCTTCGTGTGATTACTGTCAACGTGCAGCTGCGGCTTGGCTCTAAAGTAACAGTAGCGGTAGCTAGGGGCGTAGCCGGATTTTTATTTTTTTTGCTGGGGGGTGGGGTAGTTTTAACGATAGTTTATGTGTGCGCGTTAAACGTCTCAACAAGACCCTGGTTGACATAGTAAGCATGTACGTAAACGTAGAGCAAGAAAGCCCGGAGTACGTCCAGCCCTACGTGACATTCGCTTACAACACGGCTAGGGAGACCAGATTGAAGACACCATTGAGCCTCGTTTATGGCAGTGAAGTTACGACAACGTTAGACGTGATGCTTCTTGATAAAAATGACGACAATGGGAAGGATGCTGGAGAGTTTACACAGCAAGCAGAAGAAACAAGACAACTTGCCGGGTGGCGAACCACCTAGCTACAAGACTATGACGCCGGACTCTACAATCACCGGCACAGAACCGTCACATACAACGTGGGCGACAAAGTGTGGATCTGGAAACCTATTCATCAGCGTGGGCGCTCTGAAAAGCTGTGACGAAGATACTTCGGGCCTTACAAAGTTCTGCGAAGCATCAGTGACGTCAACTGCAAGGTTGTTCGAGATTCCTCAGCGGTCGAATTGCCCAAGACATTCACCAGAAATTGTTCACATGTTTCCGACGAAACCATCCTTTTAAAGACTGACTGCTTGTACCTTGCATTCTGAACTTTTCACATCATAGCGATGTTTTCTTCTTTATTAAGGGGAATAATGCCGCACGTATGAGCCAGTGGTGACGACAACAAAACAGCGCGAGTGTTCTTGGCATAGCACAAAAACGAAGACGACGTTGCAGTGTTTTTGGTCATTGATAAAGCATGTTTGTTTGTGATCCTCCGTTTACTCGTTGATCCCGCGTTGTTACAATATACGCAAGCAAAATTAAAAACCTTGGGTAAGTGGGGGTCGAACTTCCACAATCATCCCCTCCCCTTGGCTACACGCCCCTGACAGCAGCTGTACCGGTGTTACTATCTGTGAAAATGCTACTTCAGTATTTTTTAGATGACTTGTATTCGTATGCATGTGAAGGGCCCTCTATTAGCATAAGCGAAGGCGGACGTTCAACCGACGTCAATAAATAGCATGCACTATGCCAATAGGTAGAAGGAAAAACAAAAGACTGAGCGTTGAACATCAGTAACTGTGGCGTCGTTTTCACTGTGTAAGTTTCTTCACTCTAAAATCGAATAACTACAAGACCACTACATTATAGGCCTATCCCACACAGTGGGTATGAGCCACAAGTGAAGGGCAATAAGAACAAGAGCTGTGGCGGTGTTTCTGTAGCCCTTGCATGCAGAGATCTGCAAGCAGCTCTTTATTTCTTCTTGCAAGCCCCAGTAAAGTGACGGCAGTTCTTTATTCATGTTCTCGCAAGCAGCCTTTGAGAAAACGTATACTTTTTTTTCTTTCAACTAAGAACTTCTTTATAGCGAATCCTGATGCTGTAAACATTATTCCACTATATACCCAACAACTATGAATACCCTGCACTAAAACTATCGATAGCTTTGTTAATTAACTGTGGGCCACTGCGTCATCAAAAAAGGCTCATTCCTTTCGTAGCATACCAGTGGCTCATAAGATTCGATCAGGAGAGCAATTACGTCCATGGTTTGTCTTCAGGTGCCACAAGGATGTATAACACGACACTGCGTTGCTCATGCACGTGTAGTTTTGCGTAATATGAGACGAGACATCACGATATCAACAGCCGTGTCACATTGTGTGGCCTCGCAGCATCTTCCAAAGGGAAATTTCAGATTGGTTGCTTCAGTCGCCTGAGGTTGTGTAAACAGAGCAAACTGCCCAACTGTCAGTAGCCTTTTCATTACTTGTTTTGCCCAATCATATACGTGCATAAATACGGAAAATACGAGAAATACTTCAATTAAAACTAACTCTCAAGGGTTCTTATAAAGTATAGTAACTTGATGCCTTGCTCTAAACTTACCAGTAAAAGCCTTTAGAATTTGTAAATATCGCAGGACTGGTACACGTTTTGATCGAAAAGGTGAGAGTTATAATGATAAAACTTACTTTTGCATTCATGTCTTCCTGAAGGTTAGACTGATTCGGCGACGTTGAACAACCACTTTATTTTTTTTTGCCTCAAAACATTAGCTATTGTTAACGATGCATGACGCGAAATTTACCGCAGTCGCTAAATCGGAATGTTTGCAACCTCTGTTTACTACCGATACAAACATAATGGGCGGAAACTTGGAGCATGGCAAAGAAACTCGACAAGCCAGAGACCACGAAAGGTGCGATAAAATGAAAAATTTAGGGGGCCCAAAAGCTTTGCTTTAAGACGTTTAACATGACAGCGACATCCTGTTCGTAGTGTGTGCTTTAAACACTTTTCTATCCACCCACTATGTGACATAATTGTGCAGACGCGAGGCAGCCGACATTCATGCCAACTTTAGAAGAAAAAAATGATCTTCCGTGGGCAGGCCACGTAGTGCAGAGGACAAATAATCAAGGTCTGCTAGGAGAGACTGAATGCTTATCATAGAATAGTAGTTATTGTTGGTGTTTAACGTCCCACAATATAGTTATGAGGGACGCTGTAGTGGAGAGCTCCGGAAATTACGACCACCTGGGGTTCTTTAACGTGCGCCAAAAGCTAAACACACCAGCCCTTAACAATTTCACCTCCTTTGTATAGATTCGGCCACAGTTGCCGGTATTCGAACTCGCGACCAGCGGCTCAGCAGTCGAGCATGCTTATCGCGAAATAAGAGACGCAGTCGGGAACAGCAAGAGGGCTAGATGAAGAGACGAAATGAGAAATTTCACGACCATTAAATAGAACCAACCATATTATACAGTTGTTACAAAATTTAATCATTCGCTGTGGCATCATCTGCACTACCATGAATTAATCACAATAAAATGAGTAAATTGTCGGACAACTGATTCAACCACAAGAAGCAAAATTTAGAGAAAGATCGGATGTTCGCAGTCTTTGATGACAATAGCTCGATCTCAGGGCACTCGGTCAGCAGTCGATACTTCTGCATATTTTCTAACGTACCGTCTCATTTCCAAGTTTGCGTATTTGACAGTCGATCATTCGACGCGATAATACAGCCCCAAGACATTGTTCTTCACTGAGCTGTCTATAGACCTTTTTACTCAAGGCTCCCTGGGCGCCGCCATAGTCCTTTCTGGGCTGTTGTTAGTGCGCAATTTCCAAAGAAGGAAATCCTCCTCTCTGTAAAAAAATTCACAGCATATCCACGGAGTGCATAATGATGTGTGGGGCGAAGCGTCCGTCAGTCTGTCCATTCGCGCGTCCGTCAGTCTGTCCAGTGCGACTGTACACCCGTCTCTCTGTCTAGTGAACACTCAAAGTACCACCATCTCGCATCTTTCTGCTCATATATTCATCGTGTAGAAGTAACGCCTTTCAGCGGACATTGCAAGGACTACACGAGAGATTGCACGGTTGGACTAGAAAAGCGGCACGCGCACACTGTCTTACGGCCTGCGCTTCGTGTCTATAGTTCCCACTTTTCGCCACCGCTAAATCATGGCAATGCGGCCCAACCTTCGCTAAACCTGTTTGGAAAAAATGATTGTCGCCGACGTCAATAACATTCCAACAGAACAGTTTCTTATTAGACATACAATAACGATGATGACACAACAGACTTCATTTACATGAACATAGATATGAAATGGCGTGGAAAGAACATGTAAAACCAAAGCGGTTACGCGGAGCCTAACGAGTTTAGCGTGGCAGTTTTTCTGGTCAGATACTACTGAAAATGCGTCCTTCTGTCACCGTTTTTTTTAGCAAGCATCAAATTCAAGGCAAATTTTATTGGAGATTAAGCAACTGAAACTCGTTTCTGTAGGTTATTTCATCAGAAACAACTATTTTTTTATTTGTAATTAGCGTGCACGGGTTTCCTCCTCAATTCAAAAGAGTTCACGCGTGCCACTCGTTTAGTCAGGTAGTGAAGGTGGCTACCTACTACTACTACTACTACTGCTGCCACTACTACTACTACTACTACTACTACTACTACTACTACTACTACTACTACTACTACTGCTGCTGCTGCCTCTACTACTGCTGCTTCCTCTACCACTACCACTACCACTACTGCCACTACCACTACCACTACCACTACTGCCACTATCACTACCACTACTGCCACTATCACTACCACTACTGCCACTATCACTACCACTACTGCCACTATCACTACCACTACTGCCACTATCACTACCACTACTGCCACTATCACTACCACTACTGTCACTATCACTACCACTACTGCCACATACACACACACACACACACACACACACACACACACACACACACACACACACATACATGCATACATGCATACATGCATACATGCATACATGCATACATGCATACATACATACATACATGCATACATGCATACATGCATACATGCATACATGCATACATACATACATGCATACATGCATACATACATACATACATACATACATACATACATACATACATACATCGCGGACGCACGACCCACGGCATAAGGCGCTCTGCCCCTAAAAGGTCCATAGAACAATGTTCTGATTACAGTTTTCGCTCGCCGAACGCTTTCTCTTCGCGTTTTAGCCGTACTTGAGTGCAAAAGTTAGCACGAGATGTACTACATACGGCACTTGCCCCTCACGCGCATGCCCTGTCACCGGCACGAGGCGCCACTAATGGCCCGGCGTGAAAAGACAGACGCTGACGGCTATGTGGCCGCGCTGAGTGCACAATACGCCTTGCAAATGAACGCGACAACGCACCGTTCCCGTTTGGCTCGAGTCCATGGCGATCCAGATTGCGCCAGGAATGGCACCGCCTGACTCGGTCGTCGAGCGCGCGACTCTGAGGATGACGCTTGGTAGGGTTGTACTAACATCGGCGGGCGCACAGGGAGAGGGTGCAGAGGGGGCGCTTCACACTTTACGGGCAGTCATTGTTTAAAGAAAATGAGAATGGCCACGAATGTGCCTGACGGCAATGGCGGCAGAAGTACCCTAATGTTGACACAAAAACCATCGTGAGAGCGCAACTAAACACAACACACGACTACCCTGACGTTGCATTCAAAGAACTGTTTAATTCTTATCTTTACTCCCGGAGAGCCATGGACCAGAGGAAGGCCATCGTGAGAAGCATCTCACTACTTTTTTTATTAATTTTTTCTTCAATTGTTAAGCATATTGTCTTTTAGACTCGGTAAACTTGGTGTGCGTGTGTGTGGAGCGGGGGTATATACGATAAACATTCACCCCATCTAATGAAAAATCCTGCGCACACTTATGGCGCTCGGTGTTCACTCCACATAATATGTCGATACGTTACATATGTAAGATGGACGGTTCAGCAGACAAGGGAGTAAAACAAGATTGCTCTCTTTGCCGACGAAAACGCAGCTCTAACAAATCAGTCGCACCTATAGACGGGTCTTTCTGTCGCGCAATAGTAATCGCCAACCGGCGCGCTTACGTTCCTTTTTCCTTTTCAATGATATCTCCACGCTCGCTACTTTGCTATCAGCACTAATCTGTCACGCTGATAGAATTGAGCATTCATGACGTGGAAGTACTTTGGGCATCGAATTAACCCCGAACACTGGAAAGCATTCGCAATGGTGTATACAGTGCACGCCAACCCCAGGTGGTCGAAATTTCCGGAGCCCTCCACTACGGCGTCTCTCATAATCATATGGTGGTTTTGGGACGTTAAACCCCACATATCAATCATTACAGTGCACGCCCTCCAATCATAAACATTGACAGGCACACGCGCACGGTTTTGCAGAACTGCGCATATTCGCACCTGTATAGGTGGTGATAACAGGAGGGCGCGCACTATGACATTCCGGATGCTTCCCTCTGCTCTAGTTTCATCTTATGTCGGTAGTTCAAGGCGCGCGGCGTTTAAGCAAGGAAAAGTGCGCAAGCATTCAGTGTGAGAGCATGCAGTCTGCCCCATACGGTGCCAGTGTTTTTCCGTGTGAATGCTTGGCGCACTCCAACTTCAAGAGCTACATATATCCTAGTATTTGCATGAATTTATGCCGCATTCACTATCAACAAATCGACCTGAATGAGCCTTACCGACTAACTCGACCGCTTTACGTAAATACTGGAGTTTTTTTTTTTTTTTGCCACGAAGCACATTATTCGAATCGGCCTTTCAACCTTCCAATTTCTTCCCGTTTTTCTTGGATTCGAAAAGTAGTAATCAATGTTAATAAATCTTTATTCAATTATTCTCATCTAATGAGGCACATTCACTCCAATTAACTATTTAGTTGAAAGGAACACTGTACTAGCTTTTCCTCACCGGAAATCTCAATGCCGCTGTGCTCACTGCGATAAGCATTTGTGGATGACACGTAGTGTAATACTTTTTCACAAACGTGAATGTGTTTGCTTGTACGGCTGCACTCTCACAAGTCTAGTTTGCCGCCTATCGCAACCACTTTTGCCGCGTATTGAGCTTTGTGACCTGTTATATGCGCGACCTGTTATGACTAATCTATCCTCGACAATTTCCTCGGTGACAGAGCGCACTTCAAGTAAACTTACAGCTGTATAAATTATAAAGTGTCTTGTGAATGCTTCTGACACACTCTCTATAGAAAACTTTCAATGAGCAGTTTGATGGACCTAAATGACTACATTCCGTTTCATACAACAGGTGCTACATTCACATTAGGTGCAACAGGTACACCAGGTGTCTTAGTATGAAGCTAGCGAGCCTTCCTGTAGAAGATGCATTAGCACCAAGAATGCTAACGCACCTGTAATGGTATTGCCATCCGTAATGCGGTTTTAATTTTTTCATAACGAGTAATGAATGAATATGTGTTGTGTTTACGGAATAAGCAAACTCCTTTATTTACAAGGTTGTCAGTAGGTTCTTTTGCGTTGTTTATCGTCTCTGTTTTCTTATCGTGGCCTCCGCAATTAGTTCTGGTAGCGCGTTGCCGTAACCTGATCTTGATAGCCACGTTTAAAACGACCAAATACCGGGCGAGGTGCGTGTACGCACTTATTTTGTTGACTGAACTTTGATCCGTAGCTTTCCCAACGCACCGGATGGATGACACAGAGTACAGCAACGGCCTCGAGACGGTTTCGTCGCTGCAAGTATGGCCTAACTCAGCACGGCGATCTCTGTATAAACATGAATACCGGTTCTGTCGTGTTTGCTAGCAGCGGCTTCCTGCGTGATGAGTGGTGCACCGAACGAACGGAAGGGGTCCAGACTGCGCCAAACAAAGTAGAACTCGCAGCGAGCGTTGTATTGCGTCAGATATCTAAGCGACAAGTACCTAACCGTTTCTGAGAGAAAAAAAAACGAAACGAAGAAACAAGAATCTGCAAGGTCGTTCTGGTTAGGCATTTCTTTCATACGAAGCTGCCCAGGTCCTGACGTCTGCGGACTACATAAAACGCAGAAGCTTTGGCTGCGCTCATCGTACATTCTACCCAGATTAATGCCCGATTGTTTAGTGAAATCAGGCATAAGCGGTTATACTAGCCAATGACGTCGTTCAATCGAGCATTTCTCTGTACGCACGTCATCTTTCACCCATTTAACGTACTTCAGGCAGGTAAAAAGACGTATTGAAAGTGCCCACAGTTTTTTAAGGAACGTCAAACAGCCGTCAGTTGTGAATACTCAGCGAAATTCCTTTTATAAGTACGTAAATTTTGCCTACAGTAATCGTTAGAACGTGGTATATATCTGCAAATTGAGTTTTTTTTTCTATCTGAAAGAGTTATTTCAAGCCTACGGCTTTGCCGTGTATTGAAGTAAAGTGTATATAAAAGGTCAGTATTTGTTAAAATGGCCACTTAATAACCTTCTTGGATCTATTGATCCGCATTTAGCCTATAATCGGCGAAGATATGTCATGCTGTGTCGTAAGACTAACAAACATTAAAGCTTGAAGCTCTAGGTAAAGTCCAGCGCCTGGATATTTCATCTAATACATGAATAACTGGGTGATACATTCATCAGAGTAGTGTCAGACCAATTTAAATTCATTTGTTATATATCAGATATATTTAGGTTCAGCAGATGAACTAAATTATTTGTAAAATAGGGGTACTACTAACGAATTGAATTTATGTATATATTTATTCATTTATTTAGAAAGAAAGAAAGAAATCATGAAAGAAAGAAACAGACAAAGAAAGAAAGAAAGAAAGAAAGAAAGAAAGAAAGAAAGAAAGAAAGAAAGAAAGAAAGAAAGAAAGAAAGAAAGAAAGAAAGAAAGAAAGAAAGAAAGAACCTTACAGACCCTGCCGGACATCGAGTAAGGGGGCATTAGTACAATAACAACAGAAACAGATTTAAAATACATATAAAGCAACTGTATAGTGAAAGAACAAAACCACAGTGAACAAGCAAAACAACGTAATAAATGAAGGCAGATTAAGTCAGTAGTGCGTACAGACGTTTTTGAAATATTTTATGATCGTTTATCAGGTTTATGATGTCAATAATAGTCTTCGAATTTGCAACGATGTGTCAGCGGCAAAATTCTAAAGCGAAAATTCGTAGTTGCACACTAAAAACGAGTTATTGTGGCGTTCTATTACCATTGAATCTAAATCCAACGAGCTCGTTGAACTAATTACAACTAACATCAAATATACGATGCCTACGCGGTCCTAACTTTGCGAAAGCTTACGCTGCAGTTTTTGGAAAGCAACAATGGCAACAGCCTGACATTGTCGAATACACATTTTTTTTTACTTAACATGCACTGCGTCACGTGAACCGCGTCACCGGGCCGGTCTAGCGTGCCAGTGTCTTTTCGTAAAACACTAGAGTAGCGTCATGTAGTTTCACTCACCTAGCCGTGTCATCGGGGTCGAGCTTCTCGAGATTTCGCAGGAGCATGAGGAAAGCGATGGACTGCGGCTTGCCATATACCTGCACGAAAGGCAGGGCATACGTATCTGGCAATGGTACGATGACGCGCCAGTTGAGCGTCGCCCGCTATGACGAGTGGTGGTGGTCACCACCCGTCATGGCGGGTGGTAACCGCCATGACGTTTATTGACAAAACATTTATTGACAAAACAATAAGGGAGGTATGCAGCGACCACCTCATCAGAGGACGGCACCCACAACTAGTAGGTGGGGATCCATGGGACCCCATTGTCATCGGCTGCTGCCTTGGCTCGTCGAACCTAGGCCTTTTGGGCCTGAAGGTTAGAGAAGCCTAGCGAAGTCACCTCCCACTCCTCTTGGGTATGGTTGGGAAATAAGATACAGCGGCGTTGCAGAGGCCGGCCCACACCATATGATAGATGTCCGAAGACGTCTCCCCACAGTGTGAGCAGCTGCCGCAAAAGGCGGGATCGAAATGTTTGAGGGCTGCCGGGCACAGCACAGTGTTCGCGAAGAGTATAGGAGTAAAAGCCGCTCCTCCACTTAGGCCTTTGCCGTGGCGGGCCCCCGGACACGAGGACGGCCGGGACACAGCATGATCATGGATCATGGCATCAGCGAGTTAGGAATCAGTGACAAGACTGCCACTGGCCACACAGCCGGAGTTCAGGAGGCGATAATATGATTATCTGTGGTTTTACGTCCCAAAACTATGATATAATTACTAGAGGTGCCATATAGGAGAGCTTGAGAAATATTGACCATCCGGTGTTCTTTAACCTATATACTGATATGACGCAGTACACGAGCCGCTACCCCTTCGCCTCCATCAAAATATGAACGCATCAGCCGGGATGAAACTCGCGACCATCGGTTCAGCAGCCGAGCTCTTTAGTCACTGATCCACCGTGGTGGACGGGGAACGATAATGATTATATTCCCACACCACACTGCAAAGGACGGAGGTATACTTTTTCCTTCCCTGCTACTTGCGCTGCTTCACGGGTACTGCATGTGATGTTCATACAAACTCCAACCTCGTCCCGCACCCTCCGTGGCTCGTACTTCTTGCACGTGTACCTATGAATTTATTTCATCAATTAGCATCGTCGTCATTATCGATACGCGTACTAATTATCATTCGTCATCATCATTATCATTATTATGGAATAAGGTAGAAATAGGTACAGAAGAAGATGAAATCCTGAAGCAATGAAACGTAGTCGAGACACGCGGCGCTGCAGGAGCCAGCGATTCCAGAAAATGACCTGTCTTCGACCCCTCGTGTTCCAGGGATTTTTCATTACGAACTACGTGTTAGTTGTACGAACGGCTGCCGCGGCAGCTTCGGTTTTTATTTGTTGCAATAGACAAGCGAGAGCGAAGTGATCGTGGCAATATTGCCAGACTCGGATTATGTGCCTGTGGCTCCCTCTCTTTTTTTTCTCCACTTCTTTCAGTGGTCCAGCTCCCGTTTTACACACACAAACACACACACGCACACACACGATACTTTCCATGTCAGCGATATCCCAATTAAGTTAAGCAAGTATGACTTGCCAAAGTGAAAACTGGTCGCCAGATTTACTACAGTGTTATGGTTGCTAGATAACAGTGTGCATAACCTAATGAGAGTTGACGCAAGTTCTAAAAGCCAGCTTGAAAATTATCCATGCCAGAATTGTCGGGTCAACACGGGTATAAGCCCTGGTCTTAACTCAACACACTCGAGTCGACCTAGCTTAATGAAGCAAAACGCCCAAGTAATGGTGGCTGACGTAACCAACATATAAAAATAATACCCAGATGACAAATTAAACAAAAGTACACAATTAAGTTCTTACCAAACAACACCATTCATGTCCCTGAAGTGCTTTCCTTAACGAATAACTGTGAAACTTGAGATACCCATTTATCGACACATTCAGTTGTCGAAGAAAAGTGCATTGGCGTCTTTCAGCAGGTATCATTGCTTCTCATGATATTGGTGGAAGTGGTTAGAAGAGGAAAAAGCACCTAATTTTTGCAGCCCGGTCGGGAGCACCGCGCAGTGCCTCATGATATTGCAGGTGAAGGTGTTTGCAAGCTGCACACATAAAGCTGTGACAGGATGTCTTTCCCTCTACTTCAGGCCTCTTCATCATTCACTCTATACCACAAAATTCATATATGCCGGCAAAAATCAAGTACACGCAAAAGGAGAACAGGTCATGTAAAACAGGATTTTCAGAAAGAGTTCGGCGTGCCGCGGAAAAAGTCTTGCGTGTGCGGAAAGGTTAAAAAAGGTCACAGCTTTGCCGCAAAGGCAAAGCGATGAACGCGATAGCAACAAACTGGAAGGTCACGCACAGAATGACAAGCAGATCGAAACGTGCCCCACGTTTCTCGCGCATAAATGACGCACGAAACGTATTCGCAAGTACAGATAAACGCGAATAAGCGTCTCAGTTGTTACTTCGCGGTGTCTGAAAAGCGTGCTCCTTTCGCAAACGGATGCTGTGCAATGATTGAAGTGACCTTTGTGCGCCCGTTAACTACAACAGAATCGTTCCGACTAAGTTCAATGGCTAGCCAAGATGAACGCTTCTCCCCACTGTAAGATAAGGGCACGCGATCGAGCGTACACCTCCTTATTTTCTACGCAGGCCAAAGTACGCGCGATAGATGAGAGCCGCCACGCGCTCACTGCGCCATCTTGCTGATAATGCTGAAAACACGATAAGCCCCCCCCTCCCCCGAGATGCCCGCCAACAGCGGTAAGTAGTAGATACGAACAGCTTGCCGTTCTAACGGTAAAGGAAGTACCTCTCGGTGACTAATCCTTTCGCCGGCACTCGCGCGCGTCGGACGCAAAAATAATGAGCTGCTGCGGAGCAGCGAAGGCGGTTTTCGGTGGCCGCGGAAACGGGATTACAGACGAAAGTGACAACAGTTTTAGATCATCTTGCCGAATCTGCCAACAGGACGTGTTGTTTTGCACACAGTGTTTTTGCAAGGTGACATTCGAGTGAGGCCTTTCAAGGTCGAAGATTTCCGGGATGCTCTGGACAAGGAACGACTGCTTCCGGAATAGCATTGAGCGCCTACCAGATCAACCATGTGTGGGCCGTCACCTTTAACTGGCCAGGAGGTGACGAAGAGGTTGACTTAACTGAAAGAGCTCCAGCTCACCGCTGCCTTGTTATCGACCCTCAGGTGCAGCAGGTGAGGCTGCAGCTCAACTGGCAGTTACACGGCGTTGCGGACGAAAATGTCCTGCACGGCATTGGCAGCGTTTGGAAAAGTTACAGAAGTGACCCGGGAACGCTGGCGGGTAGAAGGAGTAAGTGAGAAGAATTTGACGACCCACACTGTTTTCATTAAGCTGAAAAGCGGTATGAAGGTTGAGGACCTGCCTCATCAGATACGAGTCACCGGTGAATTAGCCCTAGTGGTAGCCCCCGGTTGCCTATGCAGTTCCTGCGTTGCAGCGGAACAGGACATGTGCGTCGCGAGTGTAAGGTGCCACAGTGCTCACGCTGCCGGCGTTTCGGGCACGGAGACGCAGAATGCGTCCGTTCGTACGCCTCAGTGACCGCGTCAATGGAGGCCGAGGATGCGACCGAACACATGGACGTGATGGAAGCGGAGGACGCGGGCTGAAGGTTGCGGAGATCAAGTCGCAGCAAATTTGAACTGCTAATCGGCAACATCAGTAGACGAATCTACACCGGCACATGTGGACACACGACCAGGCTCTGCAGCTGTATGGACCGAGGCAGCTGACAATGCAGTGACAGACGCAAGCTGTGAAGTCACCAGATTGTCTGCCCCTGCGTTGGAACAGGGCCAAATAGTCGATGGTGCCTCTTGCAACGTCGATTATGACATGAAGATGGACGGAGACACGCGCAACACCAGCTGCGTCTCTGGGTCTAGCGGTGCCGTTCCAGCCATTACAAGACCATTGGAAGAGCCTGCGAAGACGGGAGACAAGAACAGCGCAAGTAGCGTGGAAGAACCACCGGCAAAGACGCCGACTGGCAGACGCACCAGCATTAGAGCAAGGGCTGGTGGCGCCGCGCAAAGGAAAACTGTGAACAAATCGATTCCGCTGTGCAGTGAAACCGGGCGGTCAGCCGGTCCCGGAGGCGTCTAGCGTAGCACTAGACGTACAAGGTAAGAGCCATGCTCCCAGCCTAACTCCTTCACATGGTTGAAATGGTGCCTCAAGTATCACTTAGCCTCGCCACTCTGAATGTTAGAGGCTTAGCTTCAAAAAAGAAGCAAAGCCAAGTGTATCGATTGCTGTTGGAAGAAAATATGGCTGTACTTGCAGTGCAGGAGACGAAAGTTGAAGGAGAGGAGGAGACTGGGCGCATGGTGCTTACGTTTACATCACGGTATTTTGCGACTGTGAGCCATGCCATAGGTACATCTGGGGGATGTGTTCTTTTTGTTAGAAAACTTTCAGGATTAGTCATACGAAATATCTTTTCGTGCTTGTCAGGCCGAGTAGTATGGTGTGATGTAGTTTATTGTGACACTGAATGGCGCATTATATGTGTTTACGCTCCAACTATTGGCCAGGAAAGAGCGAGGTTTTTTTTTTCAATTTACGACAACATATCTGTACTGGTAGGAAACTCTTATCGGTTGCAGATCTTGACTCTGTCCTGAACGAAAGTGTTAGATCAAGCAGTCGCGACGTCAAAGACAAAATTAGTGATGTCTGGCATAGGTGATTACTGAATACGAATTAGTAGATGTAGCGGAGTGTCTGTATAGCGTGGCAGTTATAACATTGTCCATGTTTTCTTTTCTGATCACTGTCTTGTAGAATGCAATAACGGGTCAAAAAAGAAAAGAACGCATTTTCTTGGGAACAGTGGAAAATGAACTCTAACCTCTTAAGTAACGAGTCATTTAGCGCATCAGTTATAAGAAAATTAAGAATATCAACATGGAGCGTATGGACAAAATAGGAGAAGAATGGGAGCTATTCAAACAGCGAATCAAAATGAAAGCAATAGAGAGATCTAGCGTTTAATCTTTTGAAT